TAGTATCACCAGCTTATCTCTAGAAAGCAGAACAAAATACCCGTCTCAATCAAATCAATTCAAGTTCAGTTGTTTGAATTCGTTAAGTGGGTCGGTCCTTCTTAAATTCATGCAACAATTTTGAAGGTAATCGATAAATTCGAGCTGTTTGCATTTGGATTAATAGCAATCGGTATCGCACCTGGCCAAGAGACGTTCGTAGCAATCTACTCGAAAAATCGCCCAGAAGTTAGTGAGCGTTCACAGTTCGTTTGCAACTCGAACGCTGTGTTCTTTTCGAGTTAGCCTCGAAGTTTTCATTAGCTTAAAGTTGACGAATCACTTGAATTAATTCCATTTCAAGTGGACAATAAGCGAGTTGGGCGTCTACACAATCAGAAGCGTGGTTGTTTCGTTGTACGATACACTCGGAACGGCCGCTCGTTCTTTCATCATCAACCAGGCTTCTGTTGAAGTTGTGATTTGTGATGCTGAAGAGAAAGCGTCTGGTTAGTTTTCACTGTTTGCGATTCGTTCGTCACTTTCGAATCGCGCCATATTGAATTGCCTTGTTCAGAGCTATCGGTATTCCATCGTAAATATTCGCTCAAACAGATGTGATATGAATAGATTCGAATGAACGGTTAATTAATCGAGTAATGCCGAAACATTCGATTCATCGACCAATCTGAATACGCTTATTTCAAAATAGGAATTGCTTTTCTCCAATCGCATGCTATCCAGTTGACTTAAGCGCACTTTATTGCGAAAAGATATCTTTGAATTGTGCAATTAATTACAGAGTGTCCCATTCTTTTGTCAATACAAAAAACAAAATTGTTATTGCATCGTTTCAGCATCTTGCCAAAAGAATACTTTCAACATTGCTGATTGTAAACACAAAGAATTGTGCATTCTTATCACTAAAACCTTATCAATTTTGGCTGCCTTTTCATCGAATACGTGAACAACATGCGATCTGTCTGCCTGTCAAATAAACCAATCGAATGATCATTTGCAATTTTTTGCAGCATTGGTTAAGTGCAAATCAGAATGTCCCACGTTAAAGTACATCATTATGATGGACGCATGCTCGAAACAATTCAAAGACACGGCAAAACAGGCCGGAGTGGCAGTTTACGGATTTGATGAAATCGAACAATTAGGTGCAAAACTCGATCCTAAGCCATCTCTGGAGGTAGGTGACTTGATGCAAACAATTCAGCTCATTTTGTCATTTCTAGTTTCAAATTGCAAAGCATTCAAGAACGTCCTCACTGGATCCTCAATAAGTCCATATCCGTTATCAACAATGCTCTTTGAGTGAGTATTGCAAAAGGAATTTTTTGAATTCGAATGTCAAAACTGTCTTCGAGATCATAATCACCAACGCATTCCATGCGGACGTTTTTATGAGATTAGTAGTTCATTAATGGAGAGAGAGCGCCCAAGTTTCAGCCTCTGACTTAGGGTTCAATAGGCCCAATCTTAGCTGAGGCTCAGTTACGTACGTGCTTATGCGAAAGAATGATCCGATTAAAAGAAGGGGATGTGATTTAGAGATACTGTTTATTAAGCAATGTTAGATGGTTTGGAATGTTTTTGAACAGCTTAACAAGATTTCAAGAAACAAGCAAGTGATTTCAATTCAGAGACCAAAAATGGATGACCTTTGTACGCTATGCTACACATCAGGTACAACAGGAACGCCGAAAGGTGTGATGTTAACGCATGGCAATGTGATTGCAACAACAACTGTTTTTCAATACCTCAAAAATGTGAAACTAACCAATGAGGTTCCTTTTAAACCACTTTTATCAACCTTAACTGGAAAACGTTGCACCATAGAATAGACTATTACACTGAACGGGACCGTTGCATGTTATCTCAAAACCAAATTTATTCGGAATACACTGGATTTTGAAAGGTTCTGAAATGAGCTTTCGAGACCCACGCAATATCACATTTATCAGTTCACTTTAAATACCGCATCCACACTCTTCAATATTATGGTAAAGCCGCAATGAGGTACATCGCCTCCTTTGCGCGAGTGACCATTAACCATTGTTCTGTCGATGATCAGTTTGAAAATGCCTGGAATCGAATTCATTTTGAGTACGCCTTCAACAATATGAGCCACAAATATTTCAGGATGTACTGATCAGTTATCTACCTCTAGCACATATGTACGAAAGAATCGTAGAAAACGCTGCGTTCCAATGCGGAGCTCGTGTTGGTTTCTCAAGAGGTGATATCAAGTTGCTTAGCGAAGATATTGTTGAGTTGAAGCCAACAATGATGCCATTGGTGCCGAGAATACTCACTCGGATATTCGATAAGGTAGTTTTCGATTATATTATCACGATATGTTTGGAGAACTTTAAAGGGCATTTCAGTTGGTTTTTTTACAAGCTGCAAATAACATTGTTACAAACATTTTTCACTGTATGTGACTGAAGATTTTTCAGTGTATATTTTTATACTGATAAACTGTTATACTGGTAGTATAGTTTTCGTATATTGAAATAAACAAATAAATATACTGAAATTTTGATCTTTCCAAATGATCACGATAAATTAATGCAAAATGATTGTTACCAGTGCTTGAGCAAACGATTTTCTCAGCAAATGATTCAAGATTCATTCATGTTTGCAGGTGACCTCAACTAGTAATTAGATTTGAGTTCGTGTGGCGATCACT